GATAAACTATTAGAAGTAAATTTCTTTTAAGACCTTAGAACTGCATATATTGAACAATTTTTAAGCTACAATGGATAGTTGACATTAATTCCATTATTTTCAGGAATATTAGCATAATTTTTCTTTTATGTCTAACCTTTCACCAATTGGATGTCAGCTTCCAGTTTTACCAGTTAATTCACTTGACAGAGGTGACTCCAGTACCCGAAATATTTTAGAAAGATGCAGCATGGGCTGGGAGACGGCACAGAGAGTAACGCTTTACACATAGACATCAGGACCTCAGTTTACTACCAAGAACTCATATAAAAGATATGATGGTGAGCAACTGGGCAGCACTGGGGCAGTAGAGAGAGGGGGAACCCTGGGACTTGCTGTTCATACAGCCTAGCCTTCTCAGTGAGCTCTCAACCAAGGAGAGATCCTGTCTTTAAAAAAAAAAATACCAAGGTAGATGACTCCTATGGAAGAACAAAGAAGGCTGCCCTCTAGCTCTCTCTAGATGTAGTATACACACATCAATGAGACATGTATAACATGAAACGAATCATCACGCAAAAAGTGTTAACATGCAATATACTGAAGAAAGAACTTGTAGTTGAGGTGGTGCGACTTCATTTCTAACAGAGGTAATAGCTGAGTTGAGTCTGAATGATAAGTAGAAAGGATGAAAGAGCAGGCTTTCTAGACAATCATAGCCCACCAAGATATGAGGAAACATGCTGCAAGTTATACCGTTCAAGACATTTTATGTGGTTCAAGATATGGTGGCCTACTACAGAAAGCTGAAGAAAATGAGGGTAACAAAAGTTTAACTTAAAAAAAAAAAGATATGTCAGAATATCGGCACTTAACTTCCATTCACCCTTTCAAGAAATACCTTTCAAGCCTCTCATGTTTTGGGCATTTTAAGAACTTCTATGGATAGTGCAAAATAAAGGAAATAATCCCCACTCCAAAGTCTACACCCTTATTCTGGTAAAGGGAGGCATTACAAACGAATGTAATAGGAGCAATTTGAAGTTAGCATACTACGGTGCAACAACTACAGATGAAGCAGAAGAGCCAGGATAACTATGTCAGCTAAGGTGACACCTGAGGTTACAGTTAACAAGAATGTGAAGAACATAAAGGAAGAAGTAATGAAGAAGTCTGGAATAGAACATCAGACAAGGAGACAATAATACCTAGGGCTGAGGATCAGCAAGGAAGCCTATGAGAGAATACAGAAGGAGGCCACAGTGGTCAAGGAAAGTCTCCACCATGCATACCTTTGTTGACAACTGAGGACAAACCCCCTCCCCTCCACGAGCACGGTGCAAAGTGGATTGCAAAATAAAAGGCTTGAGAAATAGGATTCAGTTAACAAACTATTTTTCAAATGAAAGGGTCCTGATCAAAATCATCCATTTGGTATCTCATTCTTTCACAATAATTAATCACAAAATTAGAACACTATAATGATGGCAGTGTTGTATGGGCTTTCTTGGGCAGACCTGACCAAACCTATACTCATAACAGATGGGGCACCAAAACAGACAAAGAAGTTGTTTCCAGACAGGTAACTGAAAAATAGAGAAATCACCAGAAAGTCTCACCTTAACATGGTTACTGATTTGCCCATGACACACAAATGGAGTCCACATGCCAGTTAACCATTCTACCCTCTACATATCCTCATGCATACCACGATGCAGACTTGGTATGTGTAACTGAGGCACAACTACATACAGTTTGGAAGATGTAGGAGGGAGTGGCTGGATCTCAGGAGAGCATCTAATGACTCTCCCTACCCCTCCTACTACGAAGTACAGTCAACAGGAACAATCTGGAGAGCCTATTGTGGGTTTCTCATGAGTTTTCTAAGCTGGCAATGGCAACAAGGCCTGACAAGGACAGAGTTCTACAACAGATAGGGAAATATAAATATCTCTCATGTGAAAAGCTTCTATAGAGGTATACACATTTTATCACACATTCAAAAAAATCTAATCTCACAGAAGGGATTATCTGTTCAAGATTGAAATTATATAAATAGCCCTTTGTATACTTCCTAAGCAATAGTTTTCAATGAAATTCTACTCAATACTCTTGCTACCATGATTTCTTTTGAGAGAAGTGATTGGTTAGTTTTGTGTCAAAAGAAACCATTCAGACATGCAGGCAGTGAAAGAAAGAGAGAACATCCAGGGACTTTTCATTCTACCCATCATGATAAGTCACAGAACACAGACTACAAGTATAATTAATTCAAATACAACCATTCATGAATAAATTAATTTAGCAAGCATAGAAAAGCAGAGAGCCGTCCAAAATGACCAACACTGTATGTAACCCAGACAAAAGCATCCTCAAAACAAATTGCTGGTGCATGAAGATATCATCACTTGAGGCTGGTTGACTGGCTTTGGTGCCCCTATAATGATGAACCCACTGTCTCAGAGGACAGATAGGAGCTAGTCTCTGCTGTCAAACTGTCACAGAATTATTAAACATGGAGGGGAAAATGACCCAAACAGTATGTAATGAGCTCCCTTTTCATTCTCTCACTACAAAAGCACATCTGTGGATTGTTAATGACTCTGAAATGGAGGATCCAAATTGATGAGAAAGAAAACTATCTCTCCAGGAATAGGAAAAAGGAAATGAACACACACAATGTTTATAAAGCATAATTTAAATATAACGGCTTGTAAAAAAATCTATGAAACACTACAAAGTAGAATACAAGTATGAGCTATCATTATTCAGTTTCACATCCCTTTTCTTTATGATTTTTAATATCAATCATTAACTTTTTAAAATGCAGAGAAATCCTGAAATGTATGAAATATGTTTACTGACAGTGCACGTCTTTGATTTTTTTTAATGAGGTGGCTGCCATGCTGCAGTGCTATTTTCCATCCCATTGAACGATTCTTTATTGCTCAGACACGCTGTCTTCGTTAATGAAATGCCACGACTGAAAGTAACTTGGGGAGGAAAAGGTTTATTTTGTGTACAGTTGCATATCACAGGTCATCATCAAAGAAAGTCAGGGCAGGAAGCTGGAAGCAGAGATGATACAGAGACCTGGAGGAGTGCCTGCTTACTTACTTGCTCCCTGTAGTTTGCTCAGCCTGCTTTTTTTTATTATTATTAAAATAACATTCAGGATCACCCAGCCCCAAGAACAATGGCCTGAGATCAAGCATTAATTAAGAAAATGCACTGCAGGCTTGACCATAGCCAGATATTTTGGATACAGTTTCTCTCTTGAGGGTCCCTCCTCTCAGATGATTCTAGCCTGAGTTAAACTGACACCAAAACTAGCCAGCACTCATGCTATTAAGCTACACATCATGACTGGAGTAGGGATTCTGTACTGAGTCCTAGAGGCAAATTGGCCACGTCTAGAGTCTTGGGCGCCACGTGGCCCACTTGCTTTAAAATGCTTCTGAAAGTCACACACCACACACATGCTCAAACACAGGTTTCAAGCATGACGACTTCTAAAACGCCCAGTCTTGCAAATCCCCGTGCCTTGGTGGCTAACACTAGGTAAATTCTCAATGACTGAAATCAAAAGAACACCATGCAAAGGAAATGGGATATCGAGTACACAGGCATGCCAAATAGTAGCAAGTCAGTTTTAAAAAGCTTCCCACAGTCTCAGATAATACATAGAAACAATCAATTTGCTTGACTGTGTGTAGTAATTCCAACTTTATCGCTGTTCGGAAAGCTCAGAGTTGAATTTTCCTGTCTGTTTTCTTACAGAGAAAGTAGTGAATTCAACGAAAGACCTAGTTTATTACTTGGTTTAAGGACAAACACGAGCCTGAAAGTACTTGATCTGCTCCAGGTGGTGCAGGTCAGCTGCATCTCACAGGTGGCACCATGTTAGACAGATTCAAGAGCTGTGTTTGTCAACATGAGCTATAGAATCCCCGAAGGAAAATCACCTTTAATTCTCAGGTCATGAGTTCTATGAGCCAAAGTGCAAACTCCCAATGCCATTGTGCTCATGGGGGTTACACAGACAGACAGACAGACAGACAGGGGGTTACACAGACAGACACACAATATTTAAAGTTACCTTTAAAAGAAAACATTATGTCACCATTCACAGATAGTCTTGGGTAACATATTTTTACATACCCTGTCCACACAGTTCAACAGTATCACACAAATTATGCTGTAACTTTCTAGCCTGTTGCCTTCACTACTAAAAGACAAACAAACAAAAGTAGCTTTGCCTTCGCATAAAATGTGTCCATAGATCAGGGCCATCTCTTAAGAAGCAAGTACACAGATTAAATTGGCGTCTCAGTTTCCAGGTCAGTGCACACCTTAATGGTGTAGCACAAACTCTCCCTCATCCCCAGGCCCTGAAAATTACATAATTCTGAAAGGTGCACATTTAATCACTTCTCTCTTTTTTTATTCTCTACCACCCCACGGCAGTCAGCTAAACACCGAAGCAACAAGGTCAGTCAATTGCAATGCATTTATTCTATTCAAATATAATAGGAAATTTGATCATCCCACATTCAAAGAGCAAATATATTCTCGGACTGACAAGCACATTCCACTGGCTTCTCCTGAGAACCGAGTGTGACAGATGCCTGGGCTGTAATTGCCAATCAGCCTTTACGTGGCAGCTGAAAACACAATACATCACTTTGATCTCCTTTGCTCTAAACACAGCCACAATCAAGAAAGCCGAACGAGGAGTGAGAGATTGGCATCATTTCCAGAAACTGTCACCGGTGGTGCTTAAATACTGGAACGTATATTCTGCTCCTGCTTGTATTTCCCAGTTTCAGAGAACTGAACAACTGAGAACTTCTCTAGTTAACCGTAGAAATAAACATGCACCTACACACTAAATCGGAATACGAGCATATTTAATTAAGTCCCACCTCAGCTGTCTCCTTCTCTAGACATTCTTTCGAGGGAAAAGGCAAGGCTGGCAGTGTCAGCTGATTCTGAACGGAAGTCAAGCATGCCATACTCACACTTTGCAGGGAGGTCATAGCCGCATGTGATTTTCGCGTGTCCAGTCTCACAGCCATTCAGGGTCCGACACTCAGCTAACAAACAGGGACCAGCCGCTCTATGGATGCAGCCATCCACTAGGGGAGAGAGAGAACAAAGTTAGCCTATGTTTGACCTTTTGGAAATAAAAGTTTTAATGGACAGGAGAAAAGGAACTCAGTTTCTTCCTCCCCAAACCATAGCTCTGTGGAGAGAAAACTAGTGATGGATACAAGGATATAATTCTCTTTCTCTTATTCTCTCTCTCTCTCTCTCTCTCTCTCTCTCTCTCTCTCTCTCTCTCTCTCTCTCTCTCTCTCTCTCTCTCTCTCTCTCTCTCCCCCATGGCAAAAGATATAGAAGAGTAATGCAGGTGGTTTGTGGCTGCTTAAGGTTCTTTTGGGGTGGAGGAGCCCCTGACAGATCGAATAATTTCACTGGGATAGGCACTTTCTGCCCACATCTGATTTTATGAAAACCGTGTTAGGAAGTAGCTGTCTCTTCGAAGTTGTTAAGTATGACTTTCAGCACACCACCAGTATTAAATGAGGTTACTGGGGGAAAAGGCACACGTGTACTCGTCTCAAAAGTGAGATGGTAAAAAGCAAGGCTACCAAAATAAGAACCAAACCTCTAGACAACTCTGTTTCTCAGAGGCACAATGCGTGCATGATCAATTCCAGCCAGGTAGGAGTTAGACAAACGCAAGGGTAGATGGGACTTGGAAGACCTTGAACCTGACTTGCTGGTCACAAAGTAAAGCCAGGCAGCGCAGCTGTTCTTACTCTGCTAAAGAGCCAGCTTTCTGCCCTCAGGCAGCTTCAGCTGTAGCTCCTCTGGGCCCTTTGTTTACAGCTACCCTAGCAAGAAGCACTGTGCTGATTTGACTAAAAATCAACACCTTTGGTGCCTGGATCCGAAGCTCGTGCTGAGGTAGAGGGCTAAAGGCTCGTGGATACATAAATTAGGAACTTAAACATGTAGCTGTTTAGTTATTTTTGAACATATACTGCTCTGTGGGCAGAAAGAAAAAATCAAGTTTGCAAACCAAGACAAGGTAGAAGTCAGGGTGATCTAGAATGGGAAAGAAAACGCAGTATCTTTGAGAGCTTTGAACACCCTCCCCCTCCCCCACAGTCAATGCCATCACACAATTGATAAGGACTCTTCTTATTTGTGTTTTATTTCAAGACAAAGCTAGATACTGGACAGACTTTAGTGCTGAGGGGACAGCCTGTCTAATAGCCAAGGTGACTTCTGTTGCCAGATATTAAGACATCAGCAGCAGCTGATCAAGTGTCCAAAGGGATAAGCTTATTGGAGCTTACCTGCCTTGTCACTTACATATCTATGGCGTTTGGTAATGAGCCTAGCCCTAGAAGACCCTCATATCAAAATGAGTGTATTCCAGACTACTCTCAGCTATCACCCTTCACAGACCCGGGGTGAAATCCCCACTGTGCTCTTCACCAGCCGCATACTGTACGAAGTTCTACTTTATAATGAACTGGTGTTAGAGGTACAACCTCACATACCTGTGCAAAGATTTAATGACTTGGATGCAAAGGAGGCGTCCAGCAGGTTGCTTAATACAGTGGCATGTGCTAGACTGATGGGGTTTAGCTTTAATAGCTTAACATGGAGTTGGGTAAATTTAAAAGCAGCTCTTTACCAGCAAATGAGAAACAAAGAAGAGTATAAAAACCACCAATCACTCCACTCCAGACAGAATGCCAATACCCTGCCCACTGTTCGTGCACACACAAATTCTGTCACTCATAAGGAAAGATTGGAAATATTTGCTCAAAGATCTTCAAATATCAATTTCGCAATGTAAAATCTATCACATAAAGTTATCAGCTCCAGTGAAGATGATGTTTGCATTAATTTGAAGCTTTCTGCAAGAATAATCGCCTAAAATTATGCTGTGTTCCTCGGCAGACAACTTGTTGGGTAAATAAACTTCCATCCTGCCATAGTCTATTCTGCAGCTATTAAAAAGAGTAGATGGAGTGTTAGGTTAACAGTCTTTATCATGACAGGATTGTTTCACGTGAAAATGCCTGGTTTAGAAAACAGTTGTAGACACAAACTGTCTTAGTCTGGTTTCTAATCCTGTAATACATATTACGACTAAAAGCAATTTGGGGAGGAAAGGATTGATTTCATCTTACACTTCCAGGTAACTGTCCAACCCTGAGGAGAAGCAGAAGCCAGTGGAGGCATGTTGTTTTCTGGCTTGCTCAATTTGATTTCGTATGCAGACCAGGATTACCTGCCAAGGGATGGTTCCACGCACAGTCGACTGGGTGCTCCAATACTCATCAAGAAAATGCCCAACAGGCTTCCCTACAGGCAAGTCTTCTGGAAACATTTTCTCAATTGACTCTAGCTTGTGTCATGTTGTCCAAAACTAGCCAGATCATAGACAGTGCAGTCACAATTATACTCTTGTACATATGTATATATACATATATATGCACTGGAAAGATGTACAGCTCTAACGACAAGAATAAGGGACAGAGACAAAGGAAAGAAGACTATTAAGAAAAAACTATGTCCTAAATATTTGTGCTTGATTTTTTTTATAAGCTCTTCAGAGAACAGCTTTGGATTCTTTTTTCTTGACAAAGGGATAGTTGCTTGGTTTGAGATAGATCACTAGAATAGGATTTGTGAGTATACCTAATCATACGTTGTCAAATGTCTGCATTATTTAGATTGCAACCTAATGTAGTTTGCCGATATCTAATTCTTAAAATCCTCATGGTTATACACGCATTCCTGATTGAGTTAGGGTAATGCCAGTGCAGTCAAAGAGCCATTTAATAATAATAACTACGGTTTAAATGCACTGTCTGCATCTGCGTCCCAGACATTACACCAAGGACAACCTTCTAAGGCAGATACTAATTGGATCATCTCCGTTTCATGAGTGCCTAGCCTAGGTTAGCGTCTATCTTACATCCACAAAGAACTTGCAACAAGTCTCAGAGCCCCAGATTTTTCTGATGTGGTGATTATACTCCGAACTATCTATAATCTGGATTATAGATATGGCAATAACTCTGAATTATAGATAGTTCAGAGTATATCAAAACCTGGCAATCTAACCTGCATGTGACTATAATACTATGTTATTACATTATTACATTTTTAGATCCATGAATTCTATTTATGATTTCTTATGTACATACAATCAAAATGCCGATATAAGTATGCCACTTTGATGCAGTTTAACAAATGTTTATGGACATTACTGTGACACCAATAAAGATAAAACATTTCCATCACTCCAATGTCTTCTTGTGTCCTTTCTATCTGAATTCTTCTCTTATCACCATTAGGAGGGGGAGCATTTGTTAGTACTTCAGTGATTTTGACTAAGTTTTAGCTGTTATATATTTCAAACTTCAGGTAGAGGATCTTGTATCAGCAGAATTTTTAAATCACATGTATTATAATTTTATTCCATTTTATTCTTTATAAATAGTCTGCTTTTAAAGAGCCCATAATTTCTTTATTCATATCTGAGTAGACTGTAATTATTCAGAGCTTTCTTGTGATCGTAGATAAATATACATTGTATACAATTTTTTTGGCTGCTGTTATATTTTCATTTCCTTGGAAAAAAATCCTATGAATAAAGCTTCTGGGTCGGTTCTGCATACTTTATAAAGAACACATGCTTTCCCTAGTCAATGACATCATTTTCTGCCCCCAGCAGTGTATGAGAACTGCAGTAAGGCATACTTTTGTCTATCTTTTTTTTCTCTCCATCTTCCTGATTTTAATATTCAAATAGCTACAAAGGATACTAAATTTATACCTTACTGATGGCCAGTAAGGTTAAGTATCTTGCCAACTGCTAAGAGATGGAGTGCCTGCTCGTGTCCTTTATTGTTTTTAACTGTCTTTTTCATTATTGAGATGTGTTGAATCTGTCAAATTCTGCTAGACCACTTTCTTCACTCTAGTGAAGTTTGTGAGATTTTTATTGTCCCTTTTCTTACTATTCTTACATCACTTTTGAAAATTTAAGACCTATTACTCCTTATATCTAAATATCTTATGTCTATAATATCTCATGTCTAAATTTCTTAACAGGTTTTACACAGAGACTTTGTAGTGCATTTCTGCCAATTCCAATATCAATCAGTTGACCAATGGGTCTGCTGCCATTGACTGAGTTTTCAATTGACGCTGGGCCACATTTTTTTTTACATATCTATAAATTGTTGATAGCATATTGAAAATCAAATAATATATGGAAGAAACTTTAGATTGTTGTTGTAATGGTTAAGTGAAATTGCCAACTTGGTGAGACTGAAACAGTCCTCTAGACATGGATATAACTAGTTATCTTTATTAGGTTACAGGTGGAAAGAGAAGTCCACTGTGGGTAGGACCATGCCATGGGATAATAACCTTGAACTAAATAAAAAAAAATAGAAAGTGAAGTGACTATGCGATGTAGGATTCCCCTCTTCTACACTGTGAATATGTTGTATTACCAATGGGTAATAAAGAAGTTTGCTATGGCAGGGCAGAACAGAGCTAGGCAGGAAAACTAAACTGAATGCAGGGAGAAAGAAGGTGGAGGCAGGCAGATTCCATGTAGCTGCTGAAGGAGAAAATGCCCAGAACCTTTTCGGAAAGCCACAGCCTCGTGGCGATACACAGATTAATAGAAATGGGTTAATTTAAGATATAAGAGCTAGCTAGGAATATGTTGTACAGTGTTATAATTAATATAGTTTGTTGTATTTAATATAGTTTCTGTGTGATTGTTCGGGTCTGGGTGGCTGGGAATTGAGTGAGCACTCTCCATTTACAATCATGTGCCCTGCTTGTTGGATGTCATGTAATCAGCTGCTTCAAGCTCCTATTGTCTTGTCTCCCTATAATTAAGAACTGTACCCTTGAACTATTACCCAAAATAAGCCTTTTTCTATTAAATTTCTTTTGTTGTAGGAATTTTACCTTAGCAACAACAAAAAAATAAAGTAAGTATACAGTTCTGATGGTTGTTCTAGCAAGCAGGTAAATGATAACCAGGGTGTAGGTGGCTTTATTAAGGTATAATCTAGTTCCATTT